AGAGAAAGAGTATAAACTGAGATTACAAATTACTCAAAGGAACAAACTAATCTCACCAACAAGCTCTTAATCTCTCCAAACAAAACCCTAAACAAATAGCTCAGAAAATATCTTTTTTCTGTGCTCCAAATATCCTCAATTTTCTTCTCCATTCTCTCTTCCAATTGTTCTATATATATAGAAATCCTAAAATCATAAACGTACTAGGAATTCTAAAACAAAAAACAAAACAAATTAGGAATCCTAATAACCTATTACCAAAATAGATTAGGAATCTTAATAACCTCATGTTACCAAAATAGATTAGGAATCCTAATAACCTCATGTTACCAAAATAGATTAGGAATCTGCTATCCAACAATCATCAAATAGTGAGGGTTCTAAAATCCAAACCACCATAAAATTTTGAGTTTATTTCTTTAAGGGAAAAAAAGGTGTATCAATAGACCCCTAAAGCCCCAACACTTCAGAAAAAAAGACGATTATCATCAAATAATGTGGGTCCACATTCTTCTTCATCATCTTTCTTGGGCTTTTCTGGTGAGCCCAGGTCTCACCGGTGAGATCGGCATTGGCATTGAGGCCGACGCCGATAATAGCGACGTGGGGAACAAAGTCAAGTCCATAGAAGTTTCCTCAATTAGTCTCCGCGAACAACGATTTTCTCACGGCTCCGCGGTCGATAAAGATACCCATACTCTGTCCGATAACGGAATTTGATGTGGTTTTTGTTTTTTGTTTTTTCCTTCTTCTAATCTTTATGACTGAAGTAGTAGATTTGCAAAAGTGGGATTTGAGGGATATTTTTGTAACTATTAATGATTTAAGGGGTATATATATATATATATATACCCATACTCTGTCCGATAACGGAATTTGATGTGGTTTTTGTTTTTTGTTTTTTCCTTCTTCTAATCTTTATGACTGAAGTAGTAGATTTGCAAAAGTGGGATTTGAGGGATATTTTTGTAACTATTAATGATTTAAGGGGTATATATATATATATATACCCTAGGGCTTTGAGCTTCATTGATAGGGGTCATGTCCCTAAATCTTTTGGTACCAAGAATACTTGGGTACCAAAACAAATTTGATTTTAAACCAAGAACTTTAGTGTTTTTATTTTTTTTGTCTTGGTTTTGAAAATTATGTTTTAAGATCTTTTGGTTATGAAAACAATTTTTTTTCTTTTATCAAATCCTTTGTTTTCATGATTATTAGTTTTGATTTTGATGAGAGGTTTGTATTTATATAACCCTTCGGGTTTATTGGGTGTTTATTCCCAAATCAAGTTTACCGGATGCTAAAATGATTATATGGGTTGGAACAAGCTCAAGAGCTTGATATAATTGTTGCCTCTCTTAAAAATTGTGTTTTGATTTGTTGTTTTTGAATTCATTATAATTCACTTATATGATGATATTTATGTGTTTGTGCTAATGGATCATCTATTCGTGCTTTATAATGTATTCTATGAGTGGTTTGATCAAGTTATGTAAAGAAAATTTTTCTTTATTGATCAAACATTGTTTTTGAATTTAAACTTTGATTTATGATTTCTTTTGGTTGATTTGTTTTCATTTGAAAACTTTTTGCATGATTCTCATGTTCCTCTTCTTTTGATTTCATAAATCTATTCTTATACATGGTTTTTATAATGAGACACTATCTTTATAATGTCATATCATTATGTGTCCTCATTGTATCTTGTTTGTATGTGAGTGATGCTTAGCATATCTTTTCATTTATGCTCGCTCACATATTTGCCATGATCTTTCTTTATCTATATTCTATATGGCTTTTTGATAGGGGGAGCAATCCCTATATATATTCTTTTTATACTCACCTATGCTTATTGATAGGGGGAGCCTTTGCTCTCTTATTCTTTTTGTCCCCTTTTTGATGTTGTCAAAGGGGGAGAAATATTGTGAGTATATGTATATTCTTTCTTGTTTATATGCATGTGAATTATAAATTATATATTCATTTTCTTTCATGCATATATCCTTTTTGTAAATTGTTTGTCATCATCAAAAAGGGGGAGATTGTTGGCCTTCTTGTTTTGATGATGATTTACAAACAATTTACTACTAATGTTGTTTGTCTAGTGTTTGTGCATTTATATGTTTTGTAGACAAACAACGTTGTTGGAGGATGGATGGAATAGCTTCCACGCGACGATATCAAATGGAGGTTGGCGGAATGTCAGGTTGAAGCTTATACAATTCAAGTTAAAGATCAAGTTCAAGCTTCATCCGCAACGTGATTTAGTTTAGGAGTTTATATTATGTGTGTTAGTACTTTAAGCTCAATCATATACACACATACACGGATTGGTTTTTGGTTTGATAGTTTTCTAGTTTTACTATGAAACAATTGAATATAATTAGAAAATATATTTTTATTTCATACTTATATGCATATATATGATTTCATCAATATCAATTTTAGTTAGTTCAATGAAATCATGTTTTAGTGCATTATATGTGTATTTTGATTTGAAAACATTGCATAGAATATGCAATTTTGTGAAAATATTGTATTCTTAGTTTGTAGACTTCAATATCAGTTTATACATGTTTTACTAAGTCTACAAAAACATTTCACAAAGTTTCAAAAGTTGGTTTATGTCAAAACATCAAAATTCAAGTATCTCATATTTTCATGTTTTGGACTATTTTGTAAAATGATGATATTTTTCATTTGGGAGGTCCTTTATGATAACCAGTCGTTGTAGCATGTTTATTATCATGTCTACAATCATTCCCCAAAGTTTTACATTTTTTAGAATTTATTTAATATTTTTAAACATCATTTTAAAATCAGCAAAATAGTTTTTGAATATGTCAGTTTTCGGTCGACCGAACCGGTCGACCGAACCTACAGAAATATTAGAATCATTTTTTCTCGAGCCGTATGAGGAGAAAACCTCCTATACGTTTCTAGGGGGGGGGGGGTATTGTTTATCTACATCTATCCCAATGAGCGATCTATCGAATCGTTGCAATTGATGTTCGATCTCGAAGAGAAGGAAAAGATCTTCGAAAAGTGGGTTTTTACGATCCGATACAGAATCAAACTTATTTAAACGTTCCCGCTATTCGTTATTTCCTTGAAAAAGGTGCTCAACCTACAGGAACTGTTCATGATATTTTAAGGAAGGCAAAATTATTTAAAGAAAAAACTTCGTAAAGAAAAAAAGGATACCTGCGATTTTATTTAGGAGTTTTCCCAGCTCAAGGCACCAAGATGACTGAAGAAGATGGAGAGAACTCGAGTCAAAAGTCCGAGTAAACCAAGAATTCAGTAGGAATCGGACCTGAGACAGGGAATTCCCTAGGAAAAAGGTCGTTCAGTCACTTTCCGGGCTCTCCTGACTCTTGGAAAGGTAGCTTTTCGGTAATTAAGAAAAGAGCCGATTCTCTGCATCAATTCCTTGCCTTTGCTCTCATTGCTGCTTGAAGTCAAGAGAGCTTCCTTCGGTCGACCGTACCGGTCGACCGGAAAAGTCAGCTGGTGTTTTTCTCGTGTTTGACCTGGATAGCGGTCGACCGAAATTTCCGTCGGTCGACCGATCCCACGATCCACGATCACCAACGTGAAACTCCCAGCGGTTTTTCCTTCTCCAACTCCCAGCGGTTTTTCCTTCTCCTCTAATCAATACTAGGTCTATTTACTCATATTCTCAACTTTCCTATTTACTCGAATCTTTATCTTTTCTCTCTTCATTCTTTTTTTTTTGGTCTGGATCCCTAACTAATCGATTGATCGATCGATGCCGATCGCGTTGGAGAGAGGAGGGGAAATCGAGCGATTAGGATTCGATCGTCTCAGGGAACGAGGAAGAAATCGAAGAGGAAGAAGACGAAGGATTCATCGTTGTCGTCGTTTCTTCCGCCGTGATCGAGGAAGGGAAATAGAAGGAGTTGGTCCAGTTCTCGACGACGGCGAAGTCGAGGCGGTCGAGGAATGCGATCTCGACGACGACGATGAGGCCGATGAAGAGAGGGACCGAGAGATCCGACCTTCGCCTCCGTCGCTGCCGCTGCTGAGAGGAGGAGCTCATCGTATTCGGGTTCGGGTTTGAAGTCGCAGTGCCCTGTTTGGGTCGAGCGGTGTTCGCTTGAGGAGGTAATTTTCACCATTTTTTTATTGTTTTCATCAATTTAAGTCTGTTTTCAAATGGCTTTTAGTTTGAGAACGAGAGTTTCTTCACTGGAACTGATTGATGAGATCGTGAGATCTGAGGAGGAGAACGAGAGTTTCCAAATAAATCAAGGTTTGATTTTCTGATATTTTCCCTTTTTTATTTGTTTTTTAATTTGTTGGTTGATTTTGAAGAAACTGGTGAAGGAGTTGATTTTGGAAGTTGCATTTGTGAAATCGATTAGACCTTGATAAGTTATTATTCTTATCAAGAATGATTAAATGATATTGCACTTGGTAAGTATAATATTGAGGTAGGTTGGGGTAAATAGCAAGTTTAATTCCAACTTAAGGGATGAATGAAGTTAGTTTATTTTTCACACTATAAATGGTATCGAATATGAATGCTTGGTATATGGTCTTTGGATCCATAATCTTATGGATCAATTTTTTTTGGTTTTGTACAAACAGAGAATATAGAGCAGAGAGATAAGAAAGCGAATTAATTTGTATCTAGAAAGAGAAAAATGAAGCGAGCATCTCTGTCCTATTAAGGAGAATGGTATCCAAGAAAGTTAAATAAAATCTCCTTTCTCTTTTAAAACTATCCCTCCTCCCTATATTCTCAAGCACAAAGGCCAAATCCCTCATATTGCTTTAGATTGATACGAAAGCCAAATCCCTCATATTGCTTTAGATTACAATTTCTTATATATATTTGATCAGTAAGCTCCTTACCTCTTTGTTCTAAACCACATAGCCACCTAATATATCTTGAATTCTTGACATGCCATGCTCATCTCATAGAATCTCTGTGACTTGCATTAAAATGTTAATCTCTACATCTTGTGACAATGTTACTCAGTCTTAAAGATGCATATGAAGAAGCATTGAGAAGAAATGACGTGAAAGCCATTGTGGTTACAGGTAGCATGACTACTCAAGTTATTCATCACCCGTTGTACCCCGACAAGTTATTTTAGTGGGATATGATTGGGTTTACTTTATGTGCAATTATCCAGGTGCAAGAGGAAAATTTTCTGGAGGTTTTGACATCACAGCTTTTGTTGGCATTCACTTTTTCAATTTCAGCTCTTCATACTCTCAGTCCATCTTTTAATTTAAAATTGCTCTTGACTCCTCTGTGTCACGTTATCCGTGGACCAGCCGAAGGTTGGGTTTATTTCAATAGATATCATCACCAATATGTTAGAAGGTAAGTCTCAGAACTTTTTCATTTTTGACATTGTTCAACAATATTCAGTTATTGTAGCTGGATAGGCTTTTACAATTTTCGTCCAATTGGCTTCAGGTGCAAGAAAACCATCAGTGGCAGCTATTGATGGCGTAGCTCTTGGCGGTGGCTTAGAGGTTGCAATGGTATGTTTAATGTTTGTTATAAATATCTGTTGACATCTGTTTCATGTTTAGGGTTTCAAGATTGTCTGTAACATTTGTGAATAACCAGGCATGCCATGCTAGCATTTCCACTTCAACTGCTCAACTAGGCTTGCCCGAACTTCAACTTGAGATTATTCCAGGATTCAGAGGTATTCTGTTAAGCATGGTAGATAGTAGATATAATATGCTTCTTGATAAGAATAATATACATTGAGCTTCACTCTTATAATTCGTCAAAAGGTTTGATAATATATTGGTAAGATTTTTTTCATTGTTTCATATTTTCAAGAACGATTAAATGATACTGAAAGAGATATATTTGATACAAATACAATTTATTAGTTCTTTCTACAAGAGAAATGACTATACAAATTTAAGTATTGATTGAGTAGTACACTTTTGAATTTATTTACAAGATTGTTGAGTAGTAAGTTTGTGAGTATTAAACTTTGAGTGTGATTTCTGAATTTCTCCAGATGCGTTTTCTTTGAATGGACATGAAAGTGCTTCTGTTTCCAGTAAATCGTCTATGAAGTTCAAGATGAATCTGCGAAAGCTACTTTCATTGTTATGAACAAGGAAGCTGAAAAATTAGTTAAAATACCAGCTCAAGAGGTTGCGCAAACAATAAAATATGTGAGTACATATTCCTCTTAAGTATTTTGATACAATTTACAATTATTTAAAACACATAAAGTATGTGCCTAAAAAAGTATGATTCATTGCTCAGGTTAATGGCAGAGAAGGTTTTCCAGAAGTGATAAAAGCCATGTCTGGTAAAAAAACTCTACAAGTCAGGTAACAATTTTCATTATTTGCATTACATCTACTACTTCATATCTAAAGCAGAATACTTTATTTTGATAACATGTTCAGTATTTACGCGCGCGCAAATAACCTTCTATTCAAAATATGAATCTGAGTACTTCATCACACGTCTATATCCATAATTATAAATTATCAGACATGAATATTTAGCAACAGTATCCAAATCTTATTATCATGTATTGCAATTATTCCTGTTTTGCCCTAAAACAATCTCTTGAACATTGACGGGCTGCTCGGCGATGGGCCGAAACTAATCTTTGGAACGTCAACTGCTTTTACTTCTTAAAGAAAATGACATTTAAGTCATTTTTGGGCAAAAAATGGAGGGTGACTTTGGTGAGAAAGTGTAAAAGAAAATCACGGTTGTGTTTCACAGCTCACCCTATTAGGGCTTTAGGGTCTAAAAATGAACTGATACAAATGCACCAATGTACAAAACCGAAACTTAATTA